TGTATCATGGTTTCCGATTCTGTGTTTTTATGGGATTTCTGTGTGTATTAACATCTGTGTCTACGTGTTCTTTGTGATTTTTTTCTTTGACTCTTTTTCTTATTTTATTGTTTGTTTTGTCCTACTCCAGCTTGTTTGATCTTGCTACATCTTATAATTTTTTGTACACCTGTTTTTATAACAAGAAAGAGAAAGACAGGGCGCGGATTTGGATGAAAGAATAGGACGAGAGGCCCTGGAAGGAGATGGACTTGGAAGGAATGCATTACACAAAAGTCTATTTTCAATATAAGAATAAAAGCATCTAAAATCACTGTTGCAACATGCATACATGTACACACACATACACACACACATACACACACACATTCCTAAATACATCCTCCCTAGTCTGTAGACTATCACGTGTGTGTGTTTTATGGATGACCACTTGGCAGCGGGTAATCATTTGGTTACCAGCTGTTCCCTGGAAAGACTATTACTCCCACTTTCGGAGTTTCTTAGTCTCTGTGTGGGGCTGAAGCCTCACTGTCTTTCCCTCCTCCATTGTTCTATGTCCGTTGTTGTTGTTGTCCTTGTTCTGCTCATGTTACACCATGGTGGCACTTTGTGGGGATATCTTTGAACATTACTAGGAGATAGAATCCCACAGAGAGCTTCCCAGTCTTCTGGCTCTTAAATTTTTTCCTGACCTCTCTTTTGCAATATTCCCTGTGCCTCAAGTGTGAAAACTGTGATGTGTTTTTAACCAATGGGTCGGGGCTCCACACCTCTGCAACTCGATGTGTTGTGGTTTTCTCTAATGGGCCCCATCCGCTGCAAAGAGAATTTGACTCGATGAAGGGTTAGGACTACACTTAGATCTTCGGATTTGGAGCAAGGAGCATCCAATGAGATAGAACATGTGGTATTTGTCTTTCTGGATCTGGGTCACCCCACTCAATATGATCCTTTCTGTGTCCACTTATTTATTGGGCTACACGTTAGACGAGGGTGTGCCCACATACTTTTAATTACCAAGCATTTAAGGTAATTTAAAATCAGATTTACTCATTGCATTGTGTATGTGTATTGTATTCATGTATGTATTTGCAGAAGAAGGCATCAGCTCTCCAGGAACTGGAATTGCAGACGGTTGTGAACCACCATGTAGGTTGTAGGAGCTAAATCTCAATCATCTGTAAGGACAACAAGTCCTGTTACCCACTGAGCTAAAACTCCAGCCCCTTTCCCCACAAGCTTTTACTGCTGCTATTGTTGTAAGTATCAAGTAAACCTTTTTCCACTTTGGACTTTCTTTTATTTTATGTTTTGTTCTTATTTTATATATCAATCCCAGTTCCCTCTCCTTCTTATCCTCCCATGCCCCTCGATCCTGCCCCCCCCCCCGTCCCATTCCCCACCCACTCCCCAGGGAGGGTGAGGCCTTTCAGGAGGGATCATCAAAATCTGTCAAGTCATTTGGAGTAGGGTCTAGGCTCTCCCTCCTGCCTCTAGGCTAAGGGAGTATCCCTCCATGGGGAATGTGCTCCCAAAGTCCTTTTGTGCACCAGGGATACATCCTGGTTCCACTGTCAGAGGACCCTTAGACTGCCCAGGCCTTCTGACTGAGACCCATGGCAGGGGGTCTGAGTCGGTCCTATGCTGAATTCCCAGCTATCAGTCTGGGGGTCCATGAGCTCCTCCTTGTTCAGGTCAGCTGTCTCGGTGGGTTTCAGTAGCCTGGTCTTGTACTCCCTCTCTGCATCTGGATTCCAGTTCGACACAGTGTTTAGCTGTGGGTGTCTGCTTCTGTTTCCATCAGCTACTAGATAAGGGCTCTATGATGGCAGATAAGGTAGTTATCAATCCCATTATCAGGGAAGGACATTTAAGGCAGTCTCTCCACTATTGCTCAGATTGTCAGTTGTCACCACTTTGGACTTTCATGTCTCTGCTTTTTGCTTTGTTTTGTGTTGTTTTGTTTTTTGTTTTTTTCTACCTGTGGTAAGGAAACAAAATGTTTGACACACTACCAAAATGACACAAATGTGAAGGAATATTCTAACAATAAAAAATGACAGGGAGGGAAGAATAGAGCCAAACAGCTCCCCAGTTAACCCTATGGTTGCAGGATTAGATGCCAAAAGACATTTACCATTGTATTTTAATACTCATCAAAAGTCATGAGGATGTTCATTTCCATATTGATTTTAATATGGGAAACATTCTTTTTCTCTGTATTTATAGCATTTTCTTTCCTTGCATTTGGACCTTGGCTTCCCAGATCTTTGTACATCCTCATCAGTCTGTTTTACGATTGTTAACATTTAGTCTTTTGCTTGTGTTTTCCTTTATTTCTCCTTATATAGGCCGTATGGGTCTCTCTCAATAACTCAGTTTCCTTCCCTTTTGTCAGGGTGTTTTCTGTCCTTTTAATATGTGTGGCCAGCTGGGGAGGGACAAAGTATAATTTTATAATTCCTTTCCTAATGTCTTATCCCAAGTACTCTTTCATCTGATCCTTTGACATTTCTAGGGACATTGTAGAACCTTTTTCTTGTTGCCCATTATGGCTTCTTTCATTCTGGTCTGCATTTTGAAGAAGCTACTGACCTAGCCATCATGCTTTCAAGTTTTTAACCCTTGTGGGAGGAACTTGGTCAGGATACCCTTCATTCCCCACAAAAACCTTGAATACTTTAGTCTTTGAACACTTTACTACTTCCTGTGATGCATAGTTTTATGTCAGCTTGACATGAGCTACAGTGCTTAAGGAAAAGGGAACCTCTACTGTGGGGAAAAATGCCCCCACAAGATTAGCATATGGGCAAGTCTATAGGGTGTTTTCTTGATAGATGTTTAATGTGGGAACACAAAGTTCACTATGAGAGTTGCTAGCACTTGGTTGTTAAGCATGAATTGTATAAGAAAACAAACCAAACAAGCCAAGAGGAGCAAGTCAGTTAGCAGCGCTTTGCCATGGTCTCCACTTCAGTTCCTGCCTTTAGTTCCTTCCCCGATGTCCCTGGATGGTGAACTACAAGTTGTAAGACTAAATAAACCCTTTCTTTCCCAAGGTATTTTTGACCGTGGTGTTTTATCACAATAGCAAAAATAAATTAACTACCTCCTAATTGGATGATCCCTCAGAGGACCATCCCACCAAAAAGATGGCAAATCTATTTCCTGGACTGTCTAGAAATTTCCAAGAGACATATTAATAACATAATCTCCCAAGTAACCTTTTGTTTTGTTTTGTTTTGTTTCACTATGGTTCTAGGGAGTAAGTTTATTTTGTCATTTGCACATCCTAAAAGATGACAGCCACACAGAATACAAAAGAGAGGAATGAAAACTCTTGATCTATTGCACGCATTTAATATCTTTACCATTCTATCCAGTACCCTGCAGTCTGTAGTGTTCTATATTACTCCTACCCATGAGAATACTAAAAGCTTGGGGCTCTAGAAAGGGATCAAACTGCATTATCTACCCTCTTAGGTAGGCTGACCAAAACTAAAATAAGTGTAAGTTCTTAACAATCAAATATCCCATAGCCCCTGAACTGACTCCTGATACTAATTGGGTTCTGTTGCGTTTCTGCAATTCCTGCCTGAGGATGCTGGGAAGGTTAATCTCCTATGGATTAACAAGTCTTCTGGCACCAGGTGAATCACCACTCCTGGCACTCTGGAGAGTCCTACATCATAGTGACAAGGAGAATGTGTGTGTGTGTGTGTGTGTGTGTGTGTGTGTGTGTGTGTGTGTGCGCGTGCGTGCGTGCGTGCGTGCGTGTGTGTGTGTCCATCTCTGGATGGAATTCTCAAGAAATGTTGCAGAATTTTCTGAACAAACAGCACCCTGACGATTTTTCACATGAAGCAGTCTTTATTATGAGCTACCGCAGTCTCTGTGGAATTGCTCCAAGGAGACAGGAAACCAAATATGCAGACCATGACCTTTTATACGTCTTCATCTTTGTCTCTCATATAGAGCGGATTACATTCTGATTGGCTACTTTCCTAGGGAGCGGAGTTTAAAAGCTGGGATGGGGAGGAAGAGAAAGGACAGTTGGTTGCCTTACAGCCAAGACGCTGACCAGCGTACAGGCCGTTTCCCGTTTTTCCTCTTGGATCTAGGGAAACCCTACCACATGATCTTTAACCCTGACATTCTTAACCTTGCTGTCTTGCCTCCAATCACACACTCTGTCTTCCTGCTGCAGTGCTTTGCCCTTGCTGAGTCCCCTGGCTGCAGATGCTGATCTGTTAGATGTCTTTGTACCTCACCCCTTGCTCTGCCTTGTTTCCCCAAACACTTTGTACTACATACATTGTGCATTTATTAGCATGTTGTCACATCATAGCTAGTGAATTTGCTCTTGGCTCTAACTGTAACCCCTGAAGAGAGCCAGGTAGGTCTAGGTGGTGTTTCTTGCAATAGCTGGGTGAGTAAGTGAATGGAGGTATTGGGAGCATCTGGCCGCACTTATTCATGTGACCTTCTGAGATTCCTAGGAGCGTGTTGACAACCAGACAGGTGCCAAGAAGCCAGAAATGGAAAGGAAGGAGTAGCTATGTGGTCCTAGGAAAACCAGGAAAGAGCGAGGCCATAGCACACAGGAGGCAGGTGCTTGCAGAAGGGAGGAGTTATCTCTGGGTGTTGCTGAACCACAGGAGAAAGAGAACAAAAAAAAGCCCTCTAGGCTAACTTGGGCTCTAAGTCTTCTCACTGGAGATGGAGACAGGGACCTCATCCAACAGTCCAGCTCCACATCATCCTCAGGCTGTGTGTGAAGCATAACTGGGGAGAAAAGGCCAGGGAGTGTAGTGATATCTTGTGTCCGTAGTGGGAGTTCAGTTACTCAGAGTTTGGACACCAGAACCTCTCCAGAACCCCTGTGAACTGAGACCTTGGGCATCTCTCTCCCCGGGAGTTTCTTTCTCTCATACAGGTTTTCTTCACGAATGGCAGAAGCTGAAATCGAACTGTGGAGACAAGATGACGTCTATTTTTTTTTTTTTTCAAAGTGAACCCTGTCAGGCAGGTGGGAGCTTGTGTCTCTGGTCTGAAGTTACCTCTTCTGAGGACCTCTGTCCCTAGTTACTGGCTCCACAGGTTCTGCAAGAAGTTGTAATCTAATGGCCTCTCTCTGGGCTGAAAGACAGGGAAGATTGTTAGACAGGCGGGTGGAGTTCCCTTAAGCCCAGGCATCTACAAAGAAAAAAGGGACATTTACAGCTCATGGAATAAGTTCCAGGAGATGGAAAATCATACAGAAAACTTGACATCTGGACTGGTACTGACACTACATTTTCTCATCTGAGATTTTACAGACGTGTCTTTTAAGTTCATCTGTCCCCGTCTGGATGGTTTCTCTGATCTTGGAGACGTGACCCCTGATTGGATGGAACATAGGGAAACCCACCACCTTCTGAGACCCTGGTCACCTATATTTAAACCCACTTACCTTTTTTCCTGCGTTTATCCTGATGCTTACATTGGAGAAGGAGGAGGGTGAGGAGAAAAAGCAACAGCAGGAAAGCCACAGATAACCCAAAGAGAACCTTCAGGTACCTTTCAAGTCCTGGAGAAAGGTCAACATCAAGAATAAGGAACCATGCTGCCTGCTTGAGTACCTACTGTGTGCGAGACCTATGCCGCTGGGTCTTTGCACATACAACGAGGGCTCATTCCTTCCACCAGTATGCCAGACTGCCTGGCTGGAAGTGGCAAATCTGGCGTTTCAAGCCCGGGAATCTAACTTCTGGCATTGCACCTTACACCAAGGACGAGTCCCATGAGCTAGAGGGAAGTAGCCTGAATTCCCTGCTATGACCCTGCTCTGGGCCCTTTCACATGCCACTATGACTGGCAGAAGGGACAACCCCATTGTAGAATTAGATTCTGGAAGTCTCCTATGTCAGGGGAGAAACTTTAAAAATGTGGACCGGGCTTGTCCCCTTCACAGCTGGGACAGCATAAAGGCTTATCTAAACCCGAGTCTCCAAAAAGAGGCTGCACTGAGCCTCTGATTTTCTCTCCCCCCCCCCAGAGCCTACATCTCAACAGTACTCTCCGTATTCTCAGGGCTTGGATTGCTATGGGCGATGGATGGCCTAGGTTCCAAAGCATGCTGGAGAGATATAGGCAGGTGGAGGGCTTGGCACTCTTTCTCTATCTCATTCACCCGCTCCTTCCCAGTCTGATTCCTAACCTCTCTATCTGGATGTCCCCTTACGCATCCCAGGATCTGGGATGCTGAAGACATTACTGAGATCTCAGCTTGGCCCCTGCATCTTTGGACACAAACTGAGTCAATAGGAGCCAGGTATAGATGTGCTGAGGGTTGGCGGGGGATGGAGCAAACTCCCAAGAGAGAGGCCAGTGACACTCACCCGATGCTGGAATGGGCTCTTGGGATGAGGAGTTGGGGTCTTCAGAGGATTCTGGGAAAGAAGTCAAGTAGAGTATGAGGGAGAGAGGCTAAGCCTGGAGACTTGCTCTCTCATGGTCTTACATCTGCCACCCAAGAGTCTCCTGCTGTCCATTTAAAACTTTCTGATATTTCAATAGAGGGGTAAGGTGGGAATTCTTTGAAAGGCTACGATTAGGTTCTGCAACATTGGGCGGTGAATCCCCCATGTGGCTGACCCCCTATTTCCCATTACTCATATTCCAGCTAAGAGCTGTTTCAATTGTACAGCCATGAGTTAGCCTTTCAGTTCAGAGAGGCCAAAGACCACTCACCTGAGACCACAAGCTCCACAGGGTTACTGGACTTGGACAACATGTAGGGGAGTACGTCTTTGGAGCTGTAGCACTTGTAGGTGCCCCCATAGACAAAGGTCACATTCCTCAAGGAGAATTTTGCCTGGTACAGCCCAGTTTGAAACACTGATCTCAAACACAGGGGTGGGTGGGCAGTCCCCTCCTTAGACAGAAGGAAGGTGTCCATTTGACGCCATGACTGACACAGCAGGGTCACACTCTCTCCAGAGGACACTCTGGGGCCTGGGTGCACTGAGAGGGTAGGCGTGACAGGAAGCTGCCCTAAAGAGAAGATGGATGGATGAGGGATGGCTCACCTTGATCTGAGCTGAGGCTTTGCCAGTGCTAGTCTCGAAGAACTTGGGTCTCAGCGATTCAGCTTCATCTCTATATCTACAGCTCAATGAGAACATACCCCTCATGCTGACCTTCACAACCTGGACTTCCATAGCACAACGGGGGCCTCTGATTGGACTGGCTAGGCTCCTAACTTGTGACCAGAGTATCCAGGAGGACACCAGGGTATGGTCACCCAGAAGAGAGTCTGTGTGTACCATGTCTATACTCGGCCAACAATGACAGGTGCACTCATGGGGCTCAGACCGAAGGTCAGCTCAAGTGCCCTTCTAGGGTTGTAGGCCACGGTGGCAGGAGAGGTCATTTTCTCCTTCCCTTCCCTGGGTGGTATAAATCCATTGAAGCTGATATCAAAGAAACACTGATGGGTTAGTGTCTCTCCAGAAGCCAGGATAGGGCCATGCTAGGTCAGAAAGGAGGGAATCCTAGACAGCCTCAGAAGGAAGACAGATGATTCCTGCCATATATCAACTCCCCTCCCATCATGCCCTTCAGGTACCACTTCTTTAACATTCCAAAACACTAGTTCAAGACCTGGAGTTTCATTCACACTCTCCTTGTATGGGATTCCTCAGGGACCAGAGCTCATAGCCCTCAAATAAAAAAAAAATGATTATATAGTTGCTGGAACTACTTCACCTGCAATGCGTATTTCCAGGGGGTCGCTAGGCTTGGACCACATATAGCTACTATTTTTATAGCCATAACATCTGAACATTCCTCTGTGACTGACTGTCACAGAACCTATATGGAAAAGAGCCCGGAAGTGCCCAGTAGAGTTTATATGCTGCGAGTCCTGGGGCCTGGAGAACTTCTCATCTTCCTTCGTCAGAATAAAGCTGTTGTAGCTCTCCAATGAGACACACTGGAAGGTCACGTTCCCTCCTGAAGTAACCACAAGGCTTGTCAGGGCTGATATTACGGGTTTTGTGAAGAAGTACCCTAGGCAGGAGAAGGTAACTTATTACATGGGCTCATATAGCCCACACTGTCGAGCTGTGGGAGAGGATCACACTTGAGAAGAGACAGACCCTTTTCTGAATGTGAGAAATTAGGTTGGAACCCTTACCTGTCACCACCAGCTTCAGAACATCACTCTTCTCTGACCAGCTGGGAGGCTTGTAGTATAAACAGAAATAACGCCCAGCATGGGACCATTTAGTAAAAGGGATGACAAACTTGGCCATATTTCCAGGCTTCATCAGGGTCATTCTGTGCCAGGAACCTAGGTTTCTGTGTTGGTAAAGGTAGTAACCCTGAACGCCTGAGACCCCCTCACATAAGATGGTCACCTGAGATCCATTGGCAACCACAGATCCTGGCTTAGCACTGATGGTAGGCTTTGGAAGTCCCCCTGCAAGGAAATCAGTAGCTATGCCGTGGAAGCTTTGGATCCCAACACTCTGCCCCAGGATCCTTATCAGTTCCACAGCCTCAGCCCACATTGGCTGTTTTCCATGCCCACTGCCCAGAGATTGCTCCTTTGTCCTCAGTGAAGATGAAGGATCTGAGACACCCGAGGATGCACTTACATGTGAGCACTGGGTTCCTGAGGCCCAGAGTCAGTCCTGGAAGAGAGTTTCCTGTGAGACATTTGTCCCTGAAGACTGAGCAGGCCCTCCCGTCCACAGTTGCCTTCTCTGTTCCTGAGGTGTCTTGGTAGAACAATGCCTGTCTGTGGAGTAAAGTCTCCACGCCCACAGTAGGTTGTTATCCACCCCTCCCCCCTCCACATCTCACCAAGGCAGAGGAAAGCTGTGAGTGTTCCAGTCATGGAATCTCCTCCTGTGGCTGCAACCTTGTAGATGGTTGGTGGCAATGCCCAGCCAGATGGGATGACACACGGGGAGTGGCCTTTTACAGTGGGTTCTCCCACTTACCACATTTCAGCAGCCTCACAGGAAGAGGAACTGCCATGTCCAGTCAACTGTCTTTGGTTTCTCCAGTGATACAGTTCAAACAGTACCTAGATTCTCTAACTAATCTTTTGAGGAAGAGCCTCACAAAGCCCAACAGTCTTCAAACTCAGGAAATGGTGGTATGTAATTTTCCCAATTCCATCCTTCCATATAACAGCATCCGTGTCCCCTGTAGCCAGCAAACTTCCCTTTCTGTAACAAAAGCACTACATCGCAAATACAAAATCTACCAGGAGAGGGAACATGTGTTAAATCCCTTTACTGCAAGAAGAAAATGAGCATAGAGAATGAAAACTATGTTGATGGACATGTTAGTTAGATTGATTGTGATAGTGAATTCATAAGGTAGGTGTTTATAAAATCTTCAGATCGTACATCTCAAACACATACACTTATTAGCAATGTTTCATCTAAGATCAGGATAAAGGTTTTTGTTTTAATTTTTTTACCGTTCTATATGAGGACATATTTTATTTGCATAATATTGTCTCATTGAGATTTCAGTTTATTTGTGAACTGTTTTTTTTTAATCAAATTTGGATGTTACCTACAGAATAAAAACTTTTCGAAAGTTAAATTATACTGCCCCCTCTACTTTCCTCCCTCCAAAGACTACCAGGTTCCTCACAAATTGATGGCTTCTAAACACAACCTACTGATTCCATTTTGTGTTGTTTCTTTGGACAAGATTTCAAGGCTCACCATTTAGTATTGAATGGTAAACTGAAGGCCATCCTTGGGAAAGACTGATTCTTTCAACATTCGTTAGTTGCCTGTTCTTTGTCTAGGGGAGGTGCCCTGTGATATTTACCTACAGGTGCTGTTCATGATCAGGTCCTGTTTAGGCAGACAGATTGTTGGGATATTATGGGTTTAGCTTTCCTGACTCCTGCAAAGTACAGCTTCTTGGGGGGTGGGTAAGAGCTACACATATCTGTTTATTTGTCCATTGTTTAAATAAAAAACTAAAACCAAGAAAATGTAATATCATTTTGGTAATACAATTCCAAAGTGAATGTCTCTTCTTGTAAGACAATGATAGACTTGCAGACTGGTAATGTCTGAGGAATTAAAGGACTTGGAACTCTGCATTGAAATGCTCATGCCTGAGAGAAGTTGATTCTCCTTCTTCTAGTGGCCATTATTTTCCTGTAGTTCTCTGCCTAAACGTTGGACCCCATGAAAATTTGCCCCTTCCACGTGAACATGTTCATTGATACTCCTTTTTTAGATCTTAGTTATTTTAGGTCTAGAAATAAGCCATTTCTCTAGACAGTTCTAGGAGAAACTATTTTACTGAAGAGTTCCTGGTTCTTATAATCTTTCTGTGATATTTCCTGGGCTACAGATGCCATAACTGTGACATAGACTTGTCCGTTCTGGCTGGACTCCCATGATCTGTTGACCTCTGAATTGTGTCCAGTTGTTGATTTCTGTGATGATCTCCATTTGAGGTAAACAGAGACTTTTTTGGGTCAGGATTGATATTCTTATATCATATATATACAAAGAACAAAACCAGACTGACTCGGTAGATTGCATATACATATTTGTACACATTTGTACACACACTTGTTCTTGAAGACATATATATATATGTATACATACATATATATATATGTATATATGTGTGTATGTGTGTGTCTTTGTGTGTGTATGTACATATATGTAACAATAATAAGCAAGAAAAGGAGGTCATCAACTTGAGAGTAGGGACATGGTAGAGATTGGAGGAATGGTATCTGGGAGGGGCTAGAAAGGGGGGAAGTGATGAAATTCTATTTAAATGAACTGGAATTGAGATGTAAATCAAATTTAAATATAGGAAAACAATGTATTTTTAAAAGAATCATAAGAACTAATCCCTCAGCCACAACGGATATTTCTTATCTCTGTAAACTGAACCATATGGTAAATGTTATCAAAGTTTGACAACGTCTATGAATTCAGAGAAAAAGTTTGAGTTGGCTTTCTGTTGGGAGGACTCACAACGTGAAGACTTGAAACATAGAGATTGTTGGTGGAATAAGTGACCTCATAAGTGATGACATGGTTCTGTAGATTTGTGGTGGATGTCGCTACATATGAACATCATTGGAGGGGGAAAATAAAGACTGTAAGAATGAGAAGGTTGGGAGAATGGAAGCCAAATGATACCTTCTGGGTATAACACAAATACTTTGATCATGAGCTGTTGACTAGTGATGAACTGTGGGTGAAGGAAACTCTCTGGTTTTAGTTGTGTACCCCACCACTGAGCCCACCAGCTTCCTATAGTTCCAAACACATGTTCAGATAGTCATTTTTGGTTTAAAAAAATGGTGAGAAACTACAAAACAGAAAGACACAGACAAGGTAATGGGATTATTAGGGATTAGATGAGAGTTGCTATGGAGAGGAGGGAGATGAAAGAAGAAAGAATAGGAATAATCAGAGAGCAGTGTATACATGTGTGGTATTGTCAATAATCACGCCCATTTATTGAGGTTAAATAAGGATCAGGATAAACAAATAGGCCGAATAGATGTTTATTCAGGGAGAAATAACTTACAACCTAGAAAAATGAACACCAGGGAATTCCACCCGATGTTCTCCTGTAGGAGTCCTGCCAGCAAGAGCTTTATCCTGCTTGACTCTCCGACCTCCTTCCACAGGTCACTTCCGCCCATGGCTCCACCCCCCAATGGGCGTGGTCAGTGCCACAGAAGGACTATCTCACTACACCCATTTAATAAAAAAAAAAAAAACAGAAAAATAACTCATAAAAGGGTGTAATTTGCTCTGGAAAGAGAAATTTTGTGAATTGATCTAATGTTTATACTTCAGACAAGTTGTTGAATACAAATTTCATCTTTTCCAAGCATCAGCTACCTCTGAGGTCCACGTGATGGTGCTTAGTAGGCAGAACTATGAGGAGGTCGATCTGTGCCTGGAATGATGTACTGAGGAAAGGAAGTCTCAGATTCCATACACACACACACACACACACACACACACGCACGCACGCACGCACGCACGCACGCACGCATGCACACACACACGCACGCACGCGCACGCACGCACGCACGCACGCACGCACACACACACACACCACGGGACACTTCTTAGTTTCATTTTGGGAGAGATGGACTGAGAAGAAGCACATCCCCTGGGAAACAGGTCCCAGCAGGGGATGTAAGGAGTATGTCAGGGAAGGAGGTGGGCCAGGCCATGCTGATCAGGAGAACCTTGCAGCCTGACTGACTAGCAGCCAGAGTGCTTCTTCGTTTATACAGCGTTTATTACGTAGGGATACATTCATGTTGTTTCAAAACACGTCACATCATTTTTGTTGTTGCTGTTGTTCTTGGACATGTGTTTCACTTCCTTGTTCTCATCTTTAGAGTTGTCGTTTCCAGTCATTTTCCCTCAAGTTTTGACATTTCATGACCATTTTTACTCATCAACCCCATAACCCAATTTTTACGACTCTAGAGGCATATGACAGCCTGTTCTCTGGCTGGTTGCTCTTGTGGCTACACAGACACCAAATTAAAATCCCCAAGCTAGTCTGGGTATATTGGCATGCCCCAAGCAATGTATTATTAACTCTTCATGGTTAGAGTGCCCAAGAAATATCCTCAGGCCAAAGCTGCTACAGTTAGTATTCAAATTCTGGAATAACACAGCGTTTACATTTATATTTTTATAGAGTTTGTCTCTATGTCTAGTCCTGGCACTCTGTTGTTCCTTGGTAATATGACACCACAGTGGCTCTGCGTGTGCTAACTTTTCTAAGAATGGGAGGTCCTGAAATCTTATTATTTTATTGTCCTTCCATTTCATTCTCTGTTCATCCCTATATGTATCTGTGTAGGGTAGAGGTAACTTTAGCTATCAGACTTTGTTGCCATATATGCCCTATAATTAATTGCCCGAGTGTACAGTGGGAAGAGGCAAACTGGTCTGTAGCCAACTCCTCTAGCCCACCAAATCTGTTGCTCCTTTTTTTTTTTTTAAGTTTACTTTTTTTTGACTGTCTTGTTCCTGCACAAATTAAGGGAAAGATGTCTCAAGAGTGTCTTTGCCACAAACTCTTGTTACAATAGGGTCTCCATCGTTATTTCAATTCTGCAAAGAGTAAATACATCGAGATTTCTTTTCCTTTCTTTCTTTCTTTCTTTTATATAACCAAGTCCATTTAAATGAAAACAAACATTTATAGACAATATTTGGGAATTTGGGTATCGTTCTTTCCAAACTACTTCTTGCTGGTAAGGGGCGCTGTCTTGGGGGTGTCTAAGAAGATGCAGAAATCCTGGCTATAGTCTGTAAGGCTACTTTGTCCAGCTGTTTTGAATGTAGGATCACCTGGTACTCTGTTTCAGGTGGTCTGGCTTGATCAAACCACATTAGTCTGGAAGGAATCCACATCTTTTCATTTTCTGTGGAAACAAAAATAGAAGTCCTTTCCCCCAGTAACTTGTCCTTGAACTTAAATTTTGGAGTCAAAGCATTTTTTTATTTAATTTATTATTTAACATGTTGATCCCAGTTCCCTCTCCCTCTCTCCCTCCCTCCCTCCTTCCCTCCCTTTTACCTTCTCTGTCTTCTCACATGCACCCTAACCACCCTCCCCTCCCATCCCCCCACCCCAATTCCATATGTAGGGGAATGCCATCCAGTTGGGGTCATGTAGATCTGACAGGTCATGTGAAGTAGGGACTAGGGCTTCTCTCCTGTGTCTAGATTAAGGCAGTTATCCCTCCATGGGGGATGTGTTCGCAAGGTCCTTTTGTGCACCAGGGATACATCCTGGCTCCATTGTCTGAGGTCCCTTAGACTGCTCAGTTCTTCTAGCTGAGACCAATATTCAGGGGGCCCTGAGTCAGTCCCTTGCTGGCTTCCCAGCTATCAGTTTGGTGGCCCGTTAGCTCCTCCTTGTTCAGGTAAGCTGTCTCTATGCAACGTCGAGATTTCCAAAACTGTTTACTTTGCCTTCAGGAGGGAACCAGGCCTGTCACTAACTTTGTAATCAAGAATTATTTCCTTGTTTATACTAGTTCAATGTTTCTGAGGTAAAACATGAAAACCTAAAGATTCAGTCATGGTTTGTCAGCTTCTAAAAATTTCTCTGTTTTTCTTCTTAAATTATTTGTTCCAGCTCCTATAGCTCATGGTCATTAGTACCACTTACATAATAACTTCTATAGAAGATTCAATTTCTCAAACAGCTAATTCTCCATAAATTTTATTCTTAACATCAGTTTTCACAAGAGCTGTAACATTGTCCCTTGAGTGACAGGCCCTTAACAGCAAGGAGTTCAAAATTAAACATGTCAAAGACATAGGCAAAAGAGTCATACAGCAACTTCCAGCAAGAGCAGTGAAGGGTCAGCCCAAGTCATCCAAGCACTGTGATCTTCGTTGAGCAGCAACTCCAGGATGTTTGGAATCGCCACCTTAACTCAAACCAACACTAGACATCAATATTACCATGACTCAGTCATGCTGGCACGTTGCTGTTAAAACTCATGAAAACTTGGGGACAAGAGATGAAATTCTTGTGGAAGGCTGTCTCCTCCCCCTGCCTGGCTCCTTTTTTTTTTTTTTTTTTTTTTTTTTTTAGCAATGGTGGTTTCTAGAAATTCTCATTGTGGTTAACTGCAACTGTGCTTTCTTATCACATACTGTTTTCACATCTCCCAAATCAAGATCTTAGTTTATTGTGGGTATTATAATCCCCCCTAAAAGTGTGTGAGGAGCTGTTCAGAAGAGTTTCAGAGCTAAGCTTCCAATTTAGAGCAGATGAACTTTCAGACGTTCCAAGTCATGGTGCTCTAGCCAGACTTAAAGCCTGGCAACCATGGGAACTTGGTAACAAAGACCCCCTAACCTTCACCTTGTTATTTTCTGGGGGAAATGGTTGAGGTAGTTGTGAAAACAAAATAGGTTCATAGTGACCTGAATTTCCAGACCAGATAAGATCAGTTACTCAGTTTCCATGGCAGTGTCTGACTTTGATGCTCACAACGGACTAAATGAAAGGGCATGCCCTGGATGGACAAGAGAACAAAACTCCAACGTTTTGATATAGTTCATTAACATGATCACTGTAAGAGTGGTTGACACAACTCACCTTAAAGCAGCCTTCAGCAATGTTTCATGTACCCCATCCAGTAAGTGATCTAGTCCGTTTTGTCAGTTTTGTATGCGGCAGCATCTCAAAACATATTCTAGTCTTGCACTGAAATCACAATAACCCTTCTACCTCAGCATTTTGAGCACTGAGATTCTAGCTGTGAGCAGTTTACTACTGTTATTGACTCATCTCGCTCCACTATTCAGGCCCAAATTGCAGGGACTTCTGGTGTCAGTTTTTTTTTTTTAATTTATTATTTTACATGTCGATCCCAGTTCCCTCTCCCTCCCTCCCTCCATCTCTCCCTCCCTCCTTCCATCTCTCCCTCCCTCCCTCCCTCCCTCATTTTTACCCTCTCTGCCCTCTCACATGCACCCTGACCACCCTCCCCTCCCATCCCCCCACCCCAATTCCATATGTAGGGGAATGTCATCCAGTTGGGGTCATGTAGATCTGACAGGTCATGTGAAGTAGGGACTAGGGCTTCTCTCCTGTCTCTAGGTTAAGACAGTTAGTTCTATGGGCACATAAAAACCAGCCACGGTGAGGAGTTCTGAAAATGGGGGTTTCTCATCTACTCTCTTCCCCAAAGCTAATCACATTCCCTCTCCCACAGTTCCCCAGTGTTGCTAGGTGTGTTGATGGGAAAGAAATGTCTCGGTGTGTCTTTTTTATTTACCTGTTGCATCTTGGACCTGATGTTCATTGTTTTCGCTAAAAAATGGAGTTTGAGTTAAACAAATGGAGCATCTGTATCATTCACAGAGGAATGCTGTTTGTAACCCAGATCGTCAAGTTACATGGGAAAGCAATATAAAACGAGTACTTTAGGGGTGCGAAGTGGTGAGAAAAGAAGGGAGGGCAGTCAGAGAAATATAACAGCATTTGTGGGAAGTATCAGCGTTTAATGGAAGAATAGTTCTCTTAAAAAAAAAAAAAGCTACCTTGACATCTCCAGGCTTCCAAATCAGCATGCCACTCCCCTCAAGATTCCCAACTCAAGAGTCAACACAAGCTGTGCCTAGATTTAATTTCAGAACCACATCCGCTTGTAGTAATCACCATGCACATTGTTCTGCCACTCCGGAATGTGTACTGCTGCCTCCACTGTGAGGGGTGATGTCCTTCTGTATATATGTTTCTCTTATTGGTTGATGGATACAACACTGTTTAGCCAATAGCCATTCAGGAAGCATAAATAAGTGCAGCAACCAGAGCAGGAGAAGTCTGGGAAGAGGAAGGCAGAGGGAAGCCACAGAAAGAGACGCCATGTAGAGACCAGGAAGATAGGGCGTGCCAGGTGTTCTCGGGTAAGATAAGGCCACGCAGAAATACATAGATTAGTAGTTATGACTTAATAATTAAGACAGAGCTAGCCAGTAAGACGCCCTAACCATCAACCAAGAGAGTTTAATAATATACGCCTCGGTGTACTTATTATGGGCTGAAGGGCGGCGGGAGAGAAACCTCCGTCTTCACCATTGTTTATCTCCTGGCTTCATCTTGTATCCTTCTTTGGCTGTGCTGAGCCTCAAATAGAAAAATTCCAAGAACCACCAGGACCAAGCTGCCCAATGTGATCCTGGTAAGATTCTCCACTGTGTGGTCTTGGAGAGACGAGCCTGTGTGATTTCAGACATAAGGTTATGCTGCAGTCCAGAATCCATAATCCACACAGAGCAACTCCCTCTGCTGGACAAGACTTGACTCTGTATCCAGCTCCGTAACTGTTTTCCTAACTCACCTGTTCGGGGGTCTGACATGTTTGATGATGGACTGGCAGTCTCATCCGCTGCTAAAAACCATGAAAGAGGAATACTATAAGTAAAGTGGTTAAGCGAATAGATCTTTAACTAGTCCCTAGGTTTCTTAAGCTCCATGAGTGTACATTATTCTCATCTTGATGATTTGGGATGAAGCACTGGATTGTTGGCTAAGGGTTCTTTCCATAAGCTCATCTTGCTTTTGTATATAACCCTGGCTTCACACCACCTACAGTGAGCTGGGCCTTCCCACATCAACCATTAATCAAGAAAATGGCCTGCAGACAAATTTGATGGTAACAACTTTTCAAATCATGTTCCCTCTCAATAGATGACTCCATCTTGTTTCAAATGGACAAAAACCTAATCACCACAGAATACATTATGTGTGTATGAGAGAGATTATATATGCTATGTATTATGTAAAATATGATATATTTTATGTTTATATTCACTATATGTTTTTGTTTATATATTATATTGTTGGGAACCATCACCATCCTCACTGCCTCAGGCCTCTGAGATAGAAAATCACTGCCTCTTAAGAAGTAAGCAGAATGTTCAGCAGAGCATGCCTAGATACAGGATTGCAGTTTTACAGCCAGTTAAAGAGTAGCTCAGGACATTCTTCCTGTTGTAGCTTTACAGACAGTTAAAGAATAGCTCAGGATATTCCTCCTGCTACAGTTCTACTGCCAGTTAAAGATTAGTTCAGGGCATTCTTTCTACTGACCCTTTCATCCTACCCATGTGCAAATCCTGCTCACACCCTGCCTACGGTCCTATATAAGTCTTCCCTGTGAAAATAAAATTTGTCAGCTTGATCAGAATCCTGTCTTGCTGTCCTTCTTTGTATCCCTTGTCCTTCTTTCCCTCCTAGGTTGGGGCATTGTATAATGTATATTTATATATTGTATAGTATATACAATATAATTATATATTGTTAAAACTAAGATAAATTAGCAAAAATATTTAATGCCTTGCCTCTACATTTGAGGATAAAGATATGTCTCAGTAGATAAGAGTGCTCAGTACTCTAGCAGAGGACCTGAATTCAGTTCCCAGCATTCATGTTGGTGGTCACAACTGGCTATAACTGTAGATTTAGGGGGATTCAACACTTCTGACCACTGTCATGAGCACATACTCTCTCCACATGTAAACACACAATTAAAAATAAGATAATCTTAACTTTTCTCCTACGTTTTAGAATCTGTGAAGAAGGGCACACAATAACAACCAACTGGACAATTTTAAGGTAATGAACAAAAATAGTAAGAATGAATGTCTTCAGATGCAAACATGTGATGTTTATTATAGGTGAGCATGCAAGTGTTTTTACCACGGAGGATGTACACATGAGTATACACACACAACACAAGAAATTTTGGGGTACAAATAAGAAGTTAAGATGTAACATTTCCAACTTATTTTGGCTCACATAAATACCATAAGTAAATCATAAAAGTTTAAAGAACCATGGTGTGCCAAGAGAGAGTGTTTCCTGGGTACTCCTGAGGGGAAAATAAGCTGATGATTAAGTGGTTTCTCACCAGGCATTTCTGCACAGCAGGTATCTCTGCTTTTCAAAGAATCAGAACAAATGCAATTGGAAAAGACTTCTTTGGGGGCATGAAGATCATTCACAACCAATGACAAAGGACTTCCCACTATTGGGACAAGTGTTTATAAGGCAATCTGGGGGTGAGGGAACTGCCCAGAGGTATGTACAGCATTGGAAAAAATCAAGTCAGGAAGGAATGCCCAAAGACGTAGACATCATTTGAACCAGACAAGGGGAACAATACCCAGAGTTGTAAACAGCATCTACAAACTAATCTTTGGAAGTCTGTGCAGAGATTTGAGTGGCATCTGCAAGCCCTGGAAGGAACACCTAGAAAAAAACTAGCACTCAGGAAAAAGCTTACATTTAGAATCTACATCCCTACCCAGATCTTGTTTATTCACATAAATTCATTAATTTGTTAATTTAATGAAAATATTTTCTAGACAAAGTCCCTTTGTGTAGCTCCTATTGTCATGAAAGTTGGTATGTAGACTAGGCTGGACTAGAACTCGCAGAGATCTGCCTACATTTGCCTCCCAAGTTTTAGGATTAAAGGTGTGTATACTATGCCTGTGTTAATAAACATCAATTTATGAGGGTAGCTTGTTCCTGCATTGTTCATTTTTTCTCTTTCTGCCTTGTATTTCTCTTTGAATCCTATGTATTTCTTTATATTGTGGTGGTGTTTTGAATGTAATTGGCTCCCCATAAGCTCATAGGGGTGGCACTATTAGGAGGTGTGGCTTTGTTTGAGTGGATTTGGCCTTGTTGGAGGAAGTATGCCACTGTCACTTCGTATGCTCATGATGCCACCCACTGTCTCAGACCATTTCCTTTACCTTCTGACCAAGACATAGCCAGGTCTATATCTGCCTTCATGGAATCATGTCCCGCCATGATGATAATGGACTGAACCTCTGAAACTCTAAAAGCCACCACCTCAATGAAATTTTTTCCTTTATAAGAGTCGCCATGATAATGGTATCTCTTCATAGCAATAGAAACCCTATCGAAGGCATTTATCATTCCACAATCTTTTTTTATTAACTTTTATTTAAATAAAATTAATCTTATTTTACATACCACTCACTCCAAGTTCCCTCTCCCTCCTGTCCTCTCATTCCTCCCACAATCCCCCCCACCTACTCCTCAGAGAGGGTAGGCCTCCCATGGGAGATCATCAAACTCTGTCACATCATTTGGGGCAGGACCTAGGCCATCCTCACTTATCTAGGCTGAGAGAGTATCCCTCCATAGGGAATGGGCTCCAAAAAGCCAGTTCATGCACTAGGGATAAATACTGGTTCCACTGCCAGCAGCCCCATAGACTGCTCCCATGGGGGAGGGGGAAGAGAGGTAGAAAGAAAGGAGGGAAGGAAGGTAAGGGAGGAAGAGAACATGAGGGATCAGGAGAATAAGGCAAGAGATACGTTAGTAGAAGGAGCTTTTATTGGGCTTTAACAAGAAACCTGGCACTAGGCAAATTCCCAGGAATCCACAAGGGTGACTCCAATTAAGAATCTAAACAATAGAGGAGAGGCTACCATAAATGTCCTTCCCCTCGAATGAGGTCGATGACTACCTTAAATGCCGTCATAGAGCCTTCATCCAACGGACATAGAAGCAGAGATTCACAGCTAAACGCTGAGATGAATCACAATCTTTTAAAAAGATGTGTATTTAATTATATTTATTTCAGTGTATATGTGATAGTATGTGAGTGTGGGCCCATGAGCACCATATCACTTTCGAGGAGTTAAGGAACAACTCCAGATGTCAAGTAAGTTTCGCTTCTGTGTCTGGCTTTATGTAGGCTCCAGGGGGAGTCAAAGTGAGGTCCTTCCCTCTCCAAGTAACTGTTTTAACCACGGAGTCATCTTTCCAGCTCCACTCCACAGTCTTTACTTTTTTCCATTCTACTCATACCCTCGGTAATGCACATAGTATTTCAATGCTCCATTACCTACTACAATGATTAGGGTTGAAGGGAGGCTTATCTTTTAAGTGAATGTTATGTAGATACATAAGTGCTAAATTAAAAAAACAAAAAAGACTAAGAACATGAAAACCAACACAACATGGTTTCCTCTGAAAATTACTGTTTCCACATAATGGTTTCTTTCCAGTATGCTTGATTAAGGCAATATATTAAAGAATTCAAAAGAATTATTTTAAGCAAAATAATAATTAAAGAGGACATGAGCAAAAATCTTGAGGTAATTCAAAGAGTGAGTGAAAGAAACAGCTGAACAAAACGGGGAAGTAAATACAGGATATGAAAGTGGGATTCAATACAAAATTGTAAATGCAAAGAACTGTTGTAGGATATTACTTTAAGATGTGTTGCATTTGTTATGTTGTGGAACATTTGTTTAATGATGCAAAGATGCATTGCATTATTTTATGTTGTATTTGCTTAACTCCGTGAAGCTGTGTTACTTCGCCTGTCTAAAACACCTGATTTGTGATGGGGGATGTCCTGTGTATATATATTTCTCTTATTGGTTGATGAATAAAACACCATTTGGCCAATAAAGGCAGGAAGATAGGCAGGGCTAGCAGACAAGGAGAATTCTAGGAAAAGATAGTTAGAGAGAGACCAAGAAGAAAATACCATGTAGCCACCAAAAGGAGTAACAGGGCTGGGCATTTTCTGGTAAGCCAAGACCACGTGGAAATACATAGATTAATAGAAATGGGTTAATAATTAAGATAGAGTTAGCCAATAAGAAGCCCTATCCATCAGCTGACATTTATAATAGTACGGTATCTCTGTGTGTTCATTTAGGGCCGAGGTGGTGGAATGTGGTGGGACAAGAAAACTCCACCTACAGATTTGTCTGGTAAAGAGATGAATGGACAATAGCAATGCAGTAGAAAGGATTGTCAGGGCTGGAGGGCAGATAAAATAAATAGAAGAAATCTAGGAAGAAGATCATGGAGTTAGAAAAGGAGAAGAGGAGGACTCTGGAGGCAAGCCCACCGAGGTACATAGCAAGTCATGGAGTAAGAAGTAAACAAAGGTGTATAGAATAGAATTAAGTAAATAGCCCAGAGGCAAAGTGTATATAGGATAATTTAAGTTAAGAAAAGTTAACTAGGAAAAGGCCAAGTTAGGCTGGGCTTTTATTTGGGAGCTGGGTCATGGGCCCACAAAGAGCAAAGAGTAGAAATAAAAACCAACTATGAAGAACTAATTAAAACTAGGGATAATAAATTATATGAGAGAAAAAGATATAAAAAAAGAATAGTAAAAACAAAACTTGTAATAAGCAAAATGAGATCAGTGGAAAGCCTTACCAGCAGAATAGATCAAGTACAGGGCAGGAGACTATCAGGACTTGAAGACAGGTAGGCAGATTAGAACACCCTTAAAATATCTGAGGGAAGTTAATGTGAAAGTGCAAATGATTAATACAAAATGCCCTGTTCACAATCAGAAGACCAAATCTACAAATCATGACC